GTATTCATTCATACATGATATTATAAAAAAAATAAAAAATAAAAATTTATTTACAATATCACCGTAAAAACCCTAAATTCACCATTCAAATAAGAGAGCAAAATAGATTTGCTCCTGAAAAAAATATAAAGATAAGTTATCTCTTTAAATTATTGATTAAAATAAATAAATAATTATTTAATATGCGTTATCATCACGTGTTAATCTTTTATTAAAAAATATTTAAGTGATAATCAAAATTTTGATATGTAATGATATCATATATTAAATATTTAATAATTTATTTTAATTGATAGTTTAGATGAACTATTTATTTTTATATTTTTTAAGAGATAAATTTATTCTTATCTTCCTATATAAAGGGTAAATTTAAGAATTCAACCCAATCGTGGCAATCTTTCAATAATTGTTTTCATCTAGGACAGTTCCTGGCCAAATCCAGCACGATCTGTTCCTTTACAAAACGACTAAATAATGGACAAAAATAATTTTCATAAACAACTGTCAAGAACCCTAGCAGGAAACAGGAAAGTGATACCCAGCAGACTGAGCCAATTGTACCAAAACAAAAATGGACCAATTGCAATCAAACAGACATCTAACTGTTAGAGAGCTAAGCAATTATATAGATGGTCACATTTCATTGTTCAATGTTCACCCAACTTTCAATATTTTCTTTGAAAGTTAAACTCACTTTTTAGCTAGATGGGTGTGTAGTGACTAGCACCTAGTTAATTGGAGGCTTGTAATATGCTTCTAGGTGGGTCGTCTCTATAGTCTGAGGTAAGTTCTTCTATTATGCATATATATGGTCCATCTTCTTTGGAAACAACCACAGATTCTGAGTTCCACCTTATAATCAAAGGAAGTTGAGTCTCAAATTTTGTTTTAAACAATTTTTTTTTTTTATAACAACGGTTGAACTTAGATGATGATCGACCCTAAAATTAAGAATTTAAAATTAACACACACTAATTCGATCGAGTTTTTTATTAGTTATATTAACATTATCCCCATTATCTTTCTCTACCTTTCATCTGTGTCAAATTCTAAGGGGTGAAAAACCTCCAGAATCTCGGCTCTGGCGCATAGGATCCAAAATATGGGGGGACCGACATGCCCATCTGACCTCTGCTGCAATATTTACAAGCATGAAGATTTTAGATGATCCTTTTCCTATTTCCCAACCGTACCACACAGTCCTGGTCATGACCATACAAAATATCGTAATTGTGTTTGATTTATTAATTTGTAGTTGATTGAGATATTTAAAAATATTATTATATAAATTAATTTTAAAATTTTATACTAAAAAATATAAAAATTAATATTAATTTTAATATTATTGTCATAAAAATAAATTTAATTAAATAATTAATAA